TCGAACCATGTTTACAAATTCTCAAAATATTCTAGTGTCGAGAAAAACCGTTTTGAAATTTTTGATTTTTCATGTTTTAATTTGAGCGAATAAAGCAAGCGAGCAGGCTTACAACAGTTGAATTATGCCTTATTTAAGACCGTAAATCTTAATTTTGAGCAAATAAAACTAGTTTCATTTTAGGAACCATAAACTTAAAAAATCTCAAACGTTTTCTCCAAAAATTTTTTCCAATTTGCCCATATTACTATGACTGTCTAATATGCCTAAATTTTATTTTTTTCATCAGATCCTTTTATTACACCAAGCAGAAAAAAACTACACTAATTTGGAAAAAAAACTTTCTAAACCGTAGTTTTCTAAAGACTATGGTCGGAACATTCTGTGCTACTTGCACAGTAAACGGTTATCCTTGTTTTTATTTGTAAACTAACCTTTTTTTTATTTCTAAACTAGCCTTGTTTTTTGATAAACCTAGTTTAATTGAAATTTTTGATTTTTTTGTTTTCTGACTTAAGAGCTTTTTTGTTTTGCATCGCCAGTGGTGCGAAGCTCAGCTCCGCCTCTGTGTTTATCAATCTATTCATGTACAATCCAATTTCAAAATGTAAGCGTTTTGTGCTCTGGTAAGACATTTAATTTTGGTTGATCCATCCTAAATTTTTGTCCAAGACGAGACCTTCACAATTACAAACAAAGTGAATCCCGCCAAATTTCAGCATAGCTTTAAAAAATGTCAGAACACAAGGTCGTATCAGAATTGAAGATAACTTTCAATTGGTTGACGGGTTGCGAGTGCTGGTGTTAGTTATGGGCAGTCAAGAAGCCCGTGACTAGTTTGTAGGAAGCCTAATAAAAAAACACTAACCTCAAAACTATCAAACACCATGTTAGTTGTTACGCAATAGAAACAAGAGAAGCAGGCATCTGTGCAGGAAGCATGATGTTCCGGTAACAGTCCTAGAAATTTTGTGGCTTTTACGGGGTGCCTTTTACCGAACTTTTGAAGCTTTATTTGGCTTTTTTGTAAAGAAAAAATCTAACAAAACTTTAAAAGGCAACGTTTTTTAAAACAACTATATTCGATTAAAGTTTTCAAACTAAAAACCAAAGCTTTTGGTCTTTGCTTTCGTCTCAACGTCTTTCATCCAAGTAAGTGGACTCTGAGGAGTTCTGCTACATGTCGAGACATAGCACGAGATTTAGTCATTGGAATTCAAAGGCTTCCACAACTCAAGATGAAGCCAGACTTGAAATCAAAGTAAATGGTTTCTGAAAAGGAAGGATTAGCGGAAATTTTGCTCCTCAGAAATCCACTCTAATGTCAAAATCTTCCACTCATGGAAAGTCGTGTCCAAAAATCATTACGGACGACTTGCAATTGTTCGTAGTGATTTTTGGACACGGTTTTCGAAGAGTGTAAGATTTTGACATGAAGAGTAGATTTCTGAGGAACAGAGTTTCACGAGATCATAAAAACACCAGATTATCAACAACGAATTGAAGATAAGCGCAGCTCGTTTGTTTTTCTAAGTTTTGCCAGATTAAAAACGCAGCGCGAGGCGCAGCAGGAAAATTAAAAAAGAACTTAGCGAAAAGATACATGAATCTTCTTGCGATTCAATACGCTTCATACGAGCAAGATCATGCGATCACGATGGATTTTAATTCAGATTTAATTTATTGGTTAACTAATGTTACCTAGATGCTTTTATTTTGCGTTAGTATAACCTATCTTTTCTATCTAACCTACATACTGGCACTCATATGCGAGAAGGGCCCCTTTCAATTGAACTTTTAAAAACTTGACGCGAATTACTTAGTATGCGTGCTCAACAGCTATGTGATTGCGGGTTTTAATCTTACTTGCGCTGCAGTTAACAAGTTGAAGTCTTGGAAGTCAGCCCATTTTAATTTTGGTAGGATGTTAGTTACGCTGAATTAAAAGTGATATCACGAACTTATTTCAATGTTGAATTGATACAGGTCGTGTATCAGCTCGTTTGATGAATGTTTACCCTTGCGATAAGCAAGGGTATTGCAATCGGGTACCAGACATTTTTCTCGTAAACAACTTTGTCGACAGGATCTTCACTTCTAGAAGTGAAGATCCTGTCGACAACTTTTAGATGATGAGGTTCTTATCGACAATTTCTAGATATCCACACTTCTTGAAGTTCTTGCAAATTCAAATAGAAGTACTATCAGTTAGCTAGTAATTAGTTCAAGTCCGTTTCAGGTTGTAATTATCTTGTCAAAAAAATGTTTCTCATTTTTTTGGGTTTCTGTTTTTCGTCCTAGTTTCTATCGGTTCAATTTAAATTTTTTTAACGCCATTTTTTATCTGGTAGGCTTTTTATTTATCACTTTTAAAAGATTTGGTTTTTTGCCAATTTAAATAGTTTTTACCAGAACTTAAACTTCACAAATTTTTAAATTTAGCATGTCTGATATTGAGTTTTTTCTTTTTTTTTTCCGGTTTTTATAAATATTGAAACTGTTTCAATTTGTTCAACTGTTTTGAAACTTAGTCAACTTATTTTGTGTAATTTTGAGGGCATAATTAATCCATTTGGGATCATGTGTTTCAGTTTGGATGGGTCGTAAAAACCTTTAAGATAAATGGAATTTTTTATGATAAGTTTTGTTTTCGGTTCAACATGCTTCGACCCAAAGTTTGTCGCCTTTGTTTCCGCTCGGTAATTGATTTCCATTTTTAAGGGCTGTTTTTGAATTTCATCTGATACAAATATGAAGTTTTTGTAGCTGTAATTTTACAACTTTCGTCAAGTTATTTTTTCAAGTATTTTTTTCCAACATAATTTTTCTTTTCTTACCTGTTTTTTTTTTCATTCACTATTTTGTAGCGCAATGTATTTTTGCATCGTAAGTGTTGCGAAGCTCTAAGGTTGACTAATTGTACTTGAGCTCACCTTGCAACTGCAGCGCACGTGCGATTTTAACCAGCCATCATGTGATTGCTGAGAGCCATCGCTACAAGGCGTCACAAGGTCCATGTTCCTTACCAGCTCGAAAAAGCCATACAAAGTTGTGCCTGTTTTCATCCCCCTTAAACTCCCATAAGCATCAATATCATAGTTTAATGAGCGGGTTTTATGTGGTTAAATATACAGACCAAATATAATGAAAAAGACTAAAAAAAGAGCCAAAGTTCTCTAAAAATGTTAATAGGTTTCACTAAAAAATTTATTTGTTCGCTCTGAAATGCACTACTTTCAAAAGATATTTTCAGTTGGCTTAAGTAAATCGAATCTCAGAAAAAGGAGATACTGTTAAAGGCACCTATAATTTTTTTGTTAATCAGCAAGCGGATAATCTGCATCCCAGAAGTGTAATTTAACTTGCTATATACGTAAGTTAGAAGCTCATGTTTGACATTGCTAATAACGCTGTGTTAATATTATACCAGCCCTGGATCGATTGGGCTAAAAATATTTAACCTTGAGGAAAAGCTCGTAGCTGCTTAACAGAAAGATTTTTCCAAAAAGAGTTGAGGGGAATCATTTTTTTACTCCTTAATTGTATGTTTGACATATTTTTGATGTTTTTAGCCCAGAAATTTGAAACTGATATATGCGAATACCTGCTGGACAGTGGAGCCAATTTAGAATACCAGTCAAATTACATGACTCCTATTCTTCTGCTAGCCACCTCTGAAGTTTTTTCTACCGAAATTGAGAATTGCTGTAAGTGTGCAAAACTCTTGATTGAGAGAGGGGCGAATATCAATGTATCGGATAAATTTCAAACATCTCCGCTAATTTATGCTGTCAAGAACAAGAATTTGAAATTAGTTGAACTTCTTTTGGCTAGTGGGTCGGATATAGACGCTGTCGATAGTCGAGGATGCAATGCATTACACCATGCATGCAATCACGGCAACATTGAAATCGCGAGAAAGTTAATCGAAGCGGGTTGCAATTACAAACTCATTAATAATTCGGGATGTACGCCTATTGACTTGGCATATGCTCAGGGGTTTACAGATCTGGGTACGTTTATGGATTCGGGTTGTAAGGGAATAATGCCGATGAGAAGAACGCCGAAAATGGACAATGGAACTTCTGCGCAACTAAAGCAATTGTCAGATTTGGAGATCTTTTTGTCTGGTTTGGATTTGCTCGATCTGTTGCCTTTGCTTCAAGATCAGAATTGTATTTCGTTTAAGCAGCTCCTGACTTTGACAGATTCAGAACTGGAAAAAATTGGGATATCACAGTTAGGAATCAGAAAAAAGATTTTAAATGGGGTCCACGAAGCAAATAAAAAGGACTGGAGATGCGAATCTTTTCCACACACGCGTGAATTCTCGCGGTACTTGAGTTGCTCAGAAGCGAACAGTATGATTAAGAATATCCTGAGTCAAACTCAATACATGACCAGTAGCGTAGCTTACTTCAGAAAACAGTTGAAAAATGATCCAACGGTCTTTGTATCATCTGCCAGAAATGAAAACACTGTTTCAAATGTTATTCAATCTGTTTCGATTTCGGTCGAGCAGTTGCGTGAAATTTATTATCAGTTGGAACTTTTAAATTCGAGTTTGGTGAAATTGATGAAGAATTTTCCGGACAGTGAAAAACAGAATTTGATTGACCAATTGCCGTCATTGGAATCAATGGAAAATCAGTCGTGGATAAGTAAAAAGTGGTTGATATCTGGTTCTTTGATATGCTTAGCTGTATCGTCATTTTTGTTTTCAAAACTAAATCTGAAATCATTGAAACTTTCCAAATTATTTTAATTATATTTAGATAATCCTGAAATTGAAGATGAGTAAAACGTATTGCATTCTTTTTTCTCTGGACTATCTCAAAATTGCGATGTGAAGGTTTTTTTAAAAAAAAAGATTTATTTTCGCTTCGGGTGCGGTCTATCAACTGTTCTACCTACTAGTCTAACAACTGGACAGCTCTTATAGCAATTTTATCCGTCAAAAATCTCGCCTTGATAGTACTCGCAAAACATACTTATATTTCAGAAAATTATGAAGTAAGTGTAAACCATGTCAAAATTGCTCGCGACATCAACAGATCCCTACGGCAAAGCATCAGATGATAAGAAAGTGCCAGAAGGAAATGGGATCTGGTCCGAACTGCTGAATAATGTCTCCAGTGGCCTTCCGAGCAGTGACGCAAATGCCTCTTTCAGTCACGCCTCGAATCAAGTGATGACCAGTTTACATTCTTCTTTGTCAGAAAATAGAAAATTTTTTACTACTAAGTGTTTCACTCAAAACACTATTTGATAAGCTGCTAATTTGCTTTTTTGTTGCTGCTAAAGGAAAATCTAATTCTATAATTGTTCCTAACTCTCTCGAAAGAGTAGGTGGAACTTATGAGTAGGGTAGGAGTTTCACGCGATTACATACACGTACTTAAAGGAAAATCTGTACGAGATTGAGTAAAGTTTCGTCTGATCCGTTTCAGTCGTTACTCGGGTAGCTAAAGATGTATTATAAAGTTTCCTGAGTATAGAGAAAAATTGCACGGTGTCCATTCATTTGCATCATGAGAGTACGTGGTTTTCTAAACTGCTAAGTTAATTGTTATCTGATTAAGAACTGTAGAAAAATAGCGGTTCTCTTGTTTTTTGGAAACGACTTCTTTGGCTGTATGGATTTGTCAAATGGGTATTTTTGAACAAATGGTCTTCTTAGTGTCGAGAAAAACAGGCTTGAAAATTTTATTCAATTTAAGCTTTTGTTGCTAAGTTTTAATTTTTCAATACACTCAATATATGGTCTTATGTTCTTAAATCGTATATAAGTTTGTGCTCATTTCTCCGGAAATCTCATTGAAAGGATTTCTGCTCTTTTTTAACACAAGTAAATGCTTGGTTTTTCATGAGTTCCCTTTTTTAACCTGTCTCGTTTAAATTTGAGCTGAACAACAGTGCTTAATTTCAGTATTTGTGTACGGTGTTCTACATTTTATTTCCTTACACTTTTACCATGTGATTTAACGCCATGACTTTAAGGCTCTAACAATTTCTTGCCAAGACAATTTAACTTTTTCGATATTTTAAACACCAAATTCATTGCTCAAGTTAGGAAATACTTAATCCTCGCTACTTATTGGCATATCGGGTTATTAAAATTAAAACTTACCTCTAAAACAAATTAAGTTGAGGCGTAATAATTCAATACTCTGGGTAATTTTCCCAATTCAACCAACTTAAACACCGAAAAACCATATAATGCTCAAATATGATAATATATAGAATTTTGGGAGTAAACGCTTGCGAGAGGCACGCGTTTTCAAACCAGAATATAATTTTTTTTCGGGTCAACAACTAGCTTAACAGAACTTGAATCATTTTACTTTTCGCTTACATGAAATCAAAAGTCCGATGATAATTCTCGCACATGGCGAAGAGCTAACGCACTTGCTTGTAAAGTCTAAGGTCATTGTTTCGAATCCGGCCAGGGCATGTTTTTCTTTGTACGAGGAAAAATGTCCGCGCTTCGATAAATTTTTTCGGACTTCTGTTTGTCTGCGTTTTTTGTCGGCTTAAGGGTCGCAGCATCAAATTAGGCTAAAATTTTGGCTTTTTTTTGCTCAAATTAAAAAGTATTTCAGTGTTTTCCGGTTTTGGGCAAGTAGTTGAGTTCCATCAAGTTTTGCTCATTTTGCTTTTTTTTATTTCTTACATGTTCATTAAAAATTGTAGGAAGTTTTTTCTTAATAAATTTGAGCAGTTAATAAATTCTGTGTTTGGCGCAGTAGTAATACCCATGTTTCAGACGACAAATACCAGATGTTCGATTCCAGTCGGGGCCTGTTTTTTTTGTGGAAACTGAAAATTTTCGAATGTTTTTGTGCCTGCTAATTTAAGTCGGCTTAGGTCCCGCAGAAAGTTTTGGCTGTTTTTTTAGCATTTTGAAAGTTTTTTTTTGTTAAGTTTTTGGTGCAAGTAATTTTGTTCCAGAAGTTTTCGTCTTTTTACACTTTCTTCAACTTTATTTTCAGTTTTTGATTTATCTTTTTATTTGCTGGTAATAATAGTCATTCATTTTTTTCATCGCAAGTGATGCAAAACTCTGCTTGGCTTATGTGTTGAATATCCAAATTAGTTTCACTGTAGATGTCAGTTGACATTTGGTTTATAGTTTAGATGTCAAATGACATGGAGTTAATTTGCAATGTGTTAAGCTATATGAAGTTTAAAAGGAACCTTGTGTACTGCTCTAACTCTAAGGCATTATGAAAATTTAATAGCATGTGTTCATCTGCTGGTATAGGATGGGACTGCCGTGAATACACTTGCCTCTAAACCTAAAGGCCAGTGTCCCGTAATTGCTTTTTATGTTCCGATCATTGAAATTGGGGAAAAACGTTGTATTCGGATTTCTTTTTTTTTTGTTTTCTACGCAAAGTCAGGTACAACAAATAATCATTGGAATAGGTCGAGTCCGGCCAGGGTTCCAGAAGTTTTCGTCTTTTTACACTTTCTTCAACTTTTTTTTTCAGTTTTTGATTTATCTTTTTATTTGCTGGTAATAATAGTCATTCATTTTTTTCATCGCAAGTGATGCAAAACTCTGCTTGGCTTATGTGTTGAATATCCAAATTAGTTTCACTGTAGATGTCAGTTGAAATTTGGTTTATAGTTTAGATGTCAAATGACATGGAGTTAATTTGCAATGTGTTAAGCTATATGAAGTTTAAAAGGAACCTTGTGTACTGCTCTAACTCTAAGGCATTATGAAAATTTAATAGCATGTGTTCATCTGCTGGTATAGGATGGGACTGCCGTGAATACACTTGCCTCTAAACCTAAAGGCCAGTGTCCCGTAATTGTTTTTTATGTTCTGATCATTGAAATTGGGGAGAAACGTTGTATTCGGATTTCTTTTTGTTTTTTTTTTGTTTTCTACGCAAAGTCAGGTACGACAAATAATCATTGGAATAGGTCGAGTGATTTATCAAATTAAAGCTCTTTCAATTGTAATTCGATCGACAATTTTTTTTTTCCAAAAAGTCCCACTGTCTAGAAAAAACTGGTGGTAAATTTTTGAGTTTTATTTCAATTTTCGAGTAAAGCGATCGAGTCACGTTCGTTCAGGGTGACCACTTGGTCGCTATTTTAGTGACCAGTCACTATTGGTCACTATTTTTTCAATGGTCACTAAAAGTCACTATTTACAACGGTTTTTGGCGATGGACCCTAAAATTTGTTTTATTTAGTCCTCCTTTGTTTTATTTTGAGATATCCATTTCCCATTTGTGGTTGCAGACCCTAAAAATTTTCTAAAGGCGCTTTTGGCGCCAAATTATACTATTATTGAGGGGGAGCGCGCGCCGAAAAAACGCAATTTTTTTCCAATTTTTTCAAAAAGTGCCTTTTTCAGCTTGTTTATTCAAAACTATGCCGGCGGCGAAGAAATTTTGGCCAAAACAGGGACTTTTTAGTGCTTTGGCAGAGTTTGAAAAATTAATTTGGTCGACCTAAAAAAAAGGTCGACAAAAAATTCGAAAATTGTCATAGTCACTATTTTTCTCTCAAAAAAGTGGTCACCCTGCGTTCGTTACTTAACTTTTATTTAGGCTGAGAAAACTTGATTTAACCAAAAAGAAAATCATTTTTGGAAGTTTCTTTCGGCGCTTTCAATAAAGGTATCCCACAAATAGTTCAGTTTATTGTGCAATAAATTAGAAATATATTTAAACAATTTTTTCCATTATTTGTTTTTCCATAAATTTTTGAAGACAAACGTTGTCGATTATGTCTAATTTACTAACGTTTTACGCGTTTGTATAGTTTTATAATTACACCACGCTCTAAAACGACACTATTTTTAAAAAGAAAAGATTGTTTTTATAGTTTTTTATTGTGAATGTGGTTTCAACGTTCCGTGCTACTTGCACAGCATCCAGTTATCTTTCTTTTTTTTGCACTTCTTGCTTCGCCTCCATGCTCTGGATGCGTTTTTGTGGATTCTGCATAATTGCTATTGAATACAGGTGTAGTTTTGTAGGAAGCTTCGAATTATACGATCACCGCAAGATTAGCTATAATTTGATGTTTAGTTTGAATTTTTTTGAGAGCGACCTTTATCGAAACATCTTCCCAGAATTGGAACCACGTCTGGAAGGGTGTATTATGATAATGCACTTAACTTACTGATACTAAATGAAGTCTTCTGTCGCTGCTCATGGAATAATTTGAGCGGTTTCAAAAGATATTTTAAAAAATTTTAATTAAACAAGAATTTAAGCTTATTTGTGTATGCTTGGTCTGGATGGAGGAAAAACCAGCTATTTTAAAGCTAAAAGCTTGGCCATTCTTTAAAAGCAAGTTATATTGTTTTTTTGATGATTGTCAAAAAAATAGATATTTTTGCCTATTCTGATTTGAAGGGAAATCTTATTGGGCGTACATGTCATATCCCACATAAATATAATCCTCTTGCTTTTTTCTTTTCGAAATGGTTAATAGTTGAGTTTTGATAATAAAAAGTATCTAACTGGTTATCGTTGACTGGATCAGAATGAAGACATGTCGAATGGAGATGTCTCTTTGATGAATGGAGACCATACAGCGACAGACGACAGTATAGCGACGGGCGGTGGTGGGTCTGCAGCCAAACTTAAAAGCAAACATATCCTTGTGATCGGAGATACGGAGTCAGGAAAGACTACTCTTCTGTCCGCTTTAAAAGGAGTCTCACCCACATCAGCTGCCGATAAAACTGCTTCTGGAAAGGTACTTATTATTTTTATAAGTGAGAAAGATTCTAATACAGTATGCAACTCACAATGTTCGCACACGAGCCCTGAGGCTCATCGAGGCGAGACCCTTTTAGTGCGTTGATCGCGTTTAGAACCCTTGAGCTATAAAGAGGTCCCCAAAAGACTGGGATCATTTTTGAACGCTAGAAAGCATCCCTAATCAATTCTAGAATGTATAATTAATGGAATCTAATTGGTCGAATTGAAGCTGGTTAAAGTATTTGTGGCTTAGTTAATTGATTCTCACGTCGAGTTTCGATTTGTTATATTTGCCATTAAGAAAAAATAATTGAACACAAAAAAGTTATCGAAAAACACTTTTATAAGACCAAACTATCATTGAAAACGATGAAGTGGCTCATTTGTACTTCAAATGACTTGTGAGCTGTTTACAAACTGCACTTTGGCAAAATTGTCCCAAGCTTCGACAAAGTATGTTGTCTCGTATTATAGCTGCTTTTTCTTTTTCAGAATAAGGTAATTAAAACAAAGCGTTTAATCTGTGACCTTCGGTCATCATTTGGCAACGGGAATGGGTTTTATGTGATGATTCAATCCAAACGTGGAAATGTGGTCCTTAGTAGCGGTCAGATTATATTCGAATCCTAATCTGAATGCAGGTGCTTTATGCTGGTGATCGGTGCATCAAAAACACACACAAGAAACTAAAGTATATTTTATGTTTAATTTATGAAGTACTTTTAGAATCGAGTGAAAAAATCTAGTATGAAAAAGGCAAATTGAAAGATGATAAAAAATTTGCCTGAAAAAATTTTGCAGGGTTGAGAATGATCTTTTTTGCAATCTTGTCTTGATGTCAGCTATGCTAACTCTTTCTTCTTACGATGGTTAAGTCACGCATAGATTGTGGGTCTAGGAAACTTGGACATGACGGAGTATTTTGTGTGACTGATATTTGAATCTTATGAAGTGCTTTTGTTAAATTTGATCAGGGCTCGAAATTGATCAAGAGTGGCTATGCTCTGGACTACTACTATCTGGACGTGGAGAGTGAAGAGCTGGACATGGAGGAGAGCAGGAAGTGCAGTGTGTGGGTGCTCAGAGGTCACAGCGGAGTCCAGAGTCTATTACAGGTGCCCACTACCCATACAAACAATACTAGTCATTCGCTGGTCAGTTGAACGCCATTTTTGCAGTAGAATCCTGGTGTTTTTTGATCAGTGTTTTGTGCTTGAAAATTACGCCTGAGGTAACGTTGTTAAAAACTGAAAATCAAATAAATTGGTTATTTTAACAGACATTGATTTTTAGAAAATTGATTGGTTATTGTAACAGAAAATCACTCATTGATGAAAAGCTCATAGTATCACGCGAATCAATCATTAAAAATGCTTACAAGCAATCATATATGATTTTGAATGGTTCTGAGCATTAGAAAGGAGGCGGTTTAATTTTCTTTTTTTCTTCAAATTTTTGGTAACATTAGTGAAAATTGAGTCATGGTTCTTCTTTTTTAGTCTTCCTACTCGGCCCAGATGGTGCCCCAAACCCTCTTCACAATTGTGCTGGACTTTTCTCAGCCATGGAGGTTGAAACAGTCTCTGGAAAACGCGCTGCAGCACATTCAGTCTATTATTTCAAAACTTGAAGTTGCCGATGATGTAATAACGACAATGAAGAAGAAACTCGAACGAAGGTTAATGTTTGTGACACTGTTTTCGCTGTTTATGATAGCATGAACGTAGTTTAGAGTCTCATATAAAAGTCATAAATTTTGTTCCGACTCAAATTGATTTTTTTGCGATTTGACTTTGAGTTCTTTTCAATCTCAGTTGATTTCCTTTGCTTGCATTAGCGATCAGCTTAGTGTATTATTACGAACCTTCTTTTTTTTTTCAAACCTACCTCGCAAATATTATTTGTTCACTTATTTGGAAATTTCACTGTAGCATTGGATGCATAGCATCTGTTCTTTGCTTTATTTGTGGCTAGTGTTTGGAAGCCATTAAACGTCCGTGGCTGATTGGCTAGTGTGTGAGACTCTTAGTCTCTAGGTTGCAGGTTCGAATCTCGGACGAAACCGAATTTTTACAAATTCGAGGTTTATTTCTAATGTTTTTTATTGCACCTTATAGAGCTGCTTTTTGTCGTGTTCTCGCTAGTGTTTGTGAACTGAAGCTTCGCTTCTGTGTAAAAAGAAGGGAGAATCTACTATCGAACAGCAAAAGTGTAAAGGTCACGAAAAACGGGATCGGCTTCTTGTTTCGAAAGTGGAATTTAATTTTCAGATTTCTCAGCGAAATAAAAATTTTACTTATTGACCCAGATTGCTCAAATAAGAGATATTTATCTAAAAAGTGCAATGATTTTTTTGTTTGTGATACTGTGGACGCTGTGTATGATACGATGAGCGTAGTTCAGAGTCTTATATAGGTCGCGATGATTTTTCCGGAATAGTCTGAAAATTTGTTCCGACTCAAAATTGGTTTTTGCGGTTTGACATTTGAATTCTTTTAAAGATTTAATTTCCTTGGTTAAAAGAAAGGGAAACTGCACTATAGAACAGCAAAAGTGTAAAGGTCACGTAAAACGTGACCGATTTTTAGTTTCGAAAGTAGAATTTAATTTACAGATTTCCCAGCGAAATAAAAATTTTACTTTTTGATCTACTTTTCTTATATTGGGTTTATTGTATCAAAAAAGTGCCGATCATGAAAATTTTCTGAAGTTCAACGCAACTAGCTTTAAGGGCATCTATTTTTTGAAATTTGCAAATTGAAATTATTTCACAAATCAAGTCAGTGTTTTTTTTTTTACTATTTTTGTTCATTGACTCTTTTCCAACTGTCTGTTGATATGTTTAGGTTTCACGATAAAAAATCATCTAATGATTCAGTTTTCCACAACTGAGCTAATCTTACTTAAGATGTGGGGATCATTAAACCTGTGAAACCGAGTTTGCTCTAATCTGTAATTAGAGTTTTTCTCCTGTAAATTACTTTTGCAAATTTTCCACTTGCTTTATTATTGAGCCTTAATATTTTCCTGGCGCCTTCAAACTTGGCATATCGCCTTTGCACCTTAAGGTCTGGGGTTCGAATACAGGCTGGACTTTGATTTTTCAGTATGTATGTCATTGAAATTTTTCCGTTTAAAATTGATTTGTCGAATTTCAATTTATCAGCTTTTGTCAGCAAGTTTTGTCGGCTTGCTTGCCAAGTCACGGATTTTTCCTAAGCTGTAAGAAAGTAACATGGTAGTTGTATTTAGTAGCATGGTAGTTTTAGTTAGTAGCATGGTATTCGATTTTCAAAAGGGGCATTAATAGAAAGTCCGTCTACTAGTCCCTTTTTACATTTCCTTTCTGACTACAGGCTTCGAAAAAGTCAGTGGGAAGAGTATTTGGCCCATATTTTAGTTTTTTTTGTAAAACTACCATATCAAATCTGAGAAATTACAGGAAGCATAAAATTTATAAGTCTTCTTTCGATTAAATCAGGTCGGTTGGTGGTATAAAACTTAAAAGTCACAGCTTTTGAATCGCTCAATTTTTTTGATGACAACAATTCTTTTGGCATTTTAGTATTTTGCTCAGTTGGCGTCTAAGCACGTGATATTGGCTGAGTGCATGCTCTGAAAATACTAAAAGCTTGTTTAATATCGGTGGTTTCTCGTCAGTTTTTCTGAGATTGAGTTTTTCGTTTTTCTAAAATATATGTCTATTTTTTAATGACATTTTTCTTAGCCATTTTTTTTTCGGATCATTTGGTGTCTAACCGTGTGTTTTTGTTTTAGTGAGCGCTCAGAAAATACTAGAAGAATTTTTATTGCTAGTGGTTGTTTTTTTTTCGAGATTGAAATTTTTGTACTTCCAAAAAAAAAGTTTTTTTTTTTATGATTACATTTTTTTGGCGTTTTCTGTTTTCAGATCACTTGGCGTCTAACGACGTCTTATCAGCTTAGTGAACGCTCGGAAAATACTAGAAGCTTATTTAATGCTAGTGGTTCTGTTTCTTGTCTTTTTCTGAGATATAATTATATAATAACGGATGTCCTAAAAAGTTGTTGATTTTTTTTTCACAACAATTTACTTTGCATTTTTTGTTTTCGGATCAATTGGCTGCTAGCTACGTATTGTTAGCTTAGTGATGGCTCGAAAAATACTAGAAGCTGATTTAAATCTAATGGTTTAATTTCTCATTTTTTGTGAGATTGAATTTTTCGTATTTTCAAAAATGGTATTCCAATCGGGTACTAGACTTTTTTCAGTAAACAATTTTGTCCTCAGAACTCATCTGTATTCGTAGTACCTTGGTTCATAGTGACTTCAAGTTACTTAGTGTCTCCTGTACACTTAGCCTGGAGGTAACGAATAAGCCTGGGACAAGATCGAATATGACTAAGACCTATTTTTTTTTTTTCAAACGTTAAGTTGTGCGGTTCAAAAAATAGGCCTTTTATATATGTCTGTTTATGTTTTGTCGGCTCAGTTTCCAGATATTAGAATCGTTTTAGCTGTAAACAATTTTCAGTAGAGTTGCTTTAAGTGTTTTTACACTTGCGAAGCTAGTGTTTTAGTACTAACCTTGTTTTTTTCCAACCTAAGTCGCAAATATTGGTGCGGCACTTTTATAATGCTGCACCCCAATAATGTTGGGGCAACTTTACAGCTTTTGTATAGCATGTGCTTTGACATTCGAACACTAATAAATAAACACAATTGATGCATTTTAAATAAATCGACAAAAACGAAGAAAGCTATTTGTACCGAAAAAAAACATCACATTAACAAAAACTCCATTCCAGAAATTTTCTAACTCAATATAACTAGCAATTTTTCGAAATGCATAATTTATACATAATATAGCTTTCTGTTTTGCGATTTGACTCATCCAAAGATAGTGTGGATGCCTTCAGTTTGTTATATTCCAAATTCTTATTTGCAAAATTGAGACTATTTGTATTTGGTGCTGAATCGCATTGGCAATTTGTTAGCATAGGTAGCTGCTTTATTCGTGAAAATTTTTTGTCGGTTGTTACATTTGAGTGGCTGAGTGGATAGTGCGTGAGACTCAAAATCTCTTGATTGCAGTAGGTCGTAGATTCGAATCCTACACGTAGCCGAGTTTTTGCTAATTCGAGATTTATTTATGCTTTTTCTTATTAAACTTGATAGAGATGCTTTTTAGTCGTGTTCTCGAAAGTGTTCGCGAAGCGCAGCTTCGCTTCTAAGTACCATTTGAAAAATCAGGCCGAATCGAAATTTGTTTCTAATACTAGTTGTAATTTTACCAACTCGATTTGTCAAAATTTTTTCTTCTTCAATTTTTGTCTTTTTTATCGGGTCAATAAGTTTCGACTCAATTTATGGCGACCTAGTGGCACTCCTATTGCGTCGTTCGGGATCGAAGAAAGTTTGTGTGCGTGCGTGTGCTCTGAAGGGAAAAGGACAAATATTTTTTTAAAGTTTATTTGGAAGTTTTGTACGCTTTCGGCATTTAAGGTTTCTGCTCAGGTATTTTCTGCTTTGTTACCGCTGGGTAATTTTGAATTCAAATTAAATCAACCATCCGGTGTATCTGGTTTAGAGGTGACACAACTGCTTGAGACAGCTTTTTTCTTGACAAAAACGATTTTTTGATTTTTTAAAATTATTTTTCGTTTTGTTTTTAATCAAGTTGGTATCGCAAGTGGAGCAAAGTTCAGCTTCAGCTCTGTGTGAAAAATTATTATGGAATTTTTTGTTTGCATATCAATTAATGTCTAACCACCTGTTGTTGGCTTAGTGAGCGCTCGCAAAATTTGAAAATCTTGCTTAATGCTGGTGGTTATACGTCTTGCCTGTTTGCTGAGATTGAATTTTCCGTATTTCCAAAAAAGTTTTAAAGTTTTTTTCGACTTAGTTATTTCCATGTCACTGTATATTTGTTAGCTACGGTTTCGTTATGCTACGGTTTCGTTGTAGCGGAAGTTGTGCGAAGCTCCGCTTTTTCTCTGTGTTAAATTTGAACTCGTATCCGCAAGAGGTTTTTTTTATAAGTACTCTTAAAAGGTAGTTTTCAGTACTTTGACGCTAACCATTTTTGACCTAGCTTTTTACGAGGAGAGTAACAGAAGCAACTCATTCACCTAGCGCCCAAGAAGCATTTCAAATTCGAGCTTACGCTTTTTTCAGATAATTTTCTTAAAATTGCAGCTTCTCCCGTGTTAGTTTTTTTTGGTAGGCGTAGTTACCACATTACTGATTATTCCTGTAATTATAGCAATTTTCAGTGTCATTAAATGTCTTCTACAGTTTTTTTGTTCGATGTGGTTTTTTCTGAGCATTTTTCTATTGAACTGATGAGAAATTACTTGCACGTTTGAAAAATTAAACATTCTACTTCATTTTTTTTCAATTTGAGTTATCTTCCGCTGATTACACTTGCGATCAGCTTAGTGTGTTATTAGGAATCTTACTTTTTTCTGAACTAACCCGCAAATAAAAGTGTTTCACTTAATTCGAAGTTTCACTGTAGCATTGGGAATTGCATAGCATCTGTTCTCGGCTTTACTTGTGGCTAGTGCCTATTAAGTGTCCGTGTCTGAGTGGTTGGTGTGTGAGACTCTTAATCTATAGGTCGGTGGTTCGAATCTCAGACGCAGCCGGTTTTTTTAAACTAATTCGAGGCTTAATTTAAATTTTTCTTTGTACTTTTTTGAGCTGCTTTTTGTTGTGCTTCGCCCCTGATTTTTGAGACTCTTTTTGTAAAAGACTAAATTGTTTCTCGGTTTTTGTGTATCTTTGTCTTATTGTAAATATAAATCAGAAAAGAAGTAGTTCTTTTCATCATTGTGTCGCGTGTCTTCTCGGTAATCATGCATTTTTAATTTTGGCTAAATTCAGATTCAAGTTTTTGCTTGTATATTGTTTCAATAGTATTTTTCGCTGATAATTAAGTAAATTAAATTCGCAATAAAACAATTTTCGCTTTCTTTTTCGAATTTTCGGCGCCTTGTGTAGAAAGCAGTTTCCTCTGTCCGAAAAAGCGGTCTGTGTTTTTAGTCTTTGCACTCAGATATTGTGACGAGTGGGTTATTTAGTGAAAAATCAAAACTATGTTTAAGAGTCGATGAACGTAGTCTAACTCTTATAATAGTCGTGATGATTTTTTTTCGATTTTTTGTTTTCATGAAAAGTCTTAAAATCCTTTTATATCGAAAGAAGTGCATTCATACTTAAAAATCCACAAATTAATGCCTATAGGTATATATATTGAGTTCAATTTAAGTTCATTTGCTAGAAACTAGGCGAAAGCGCTCTCCAATTATGAAAGCTGAAATGGCGCGAAAACACTTGATCGGTTTCTATTTTCGAGGGTGGAATTTAATTTAAGGATATCCCTGCAGAATAAAGTTTTTCCTTATAATCCAGTTGTTTTTCAAATTGGGTTAAATCTATCAAAAATGTGTCAATCATAAATTGTTCTAGAAATTCAAAGGGCTTTAAGGTCATATATTTTTTTGTTTGAATTTTGGAAGTTTTTCAAAAAAACATGGCATTTTTTTTCAGTTTCTTTGCTTGCATTGACTCCTTTCCAACTGTCTGATGTAAAACAAATAATTAATTAATAATCTCTAAACGGTTGGTGTAATCTGCGGGTTTATTTAGATGTAATTGATTTCTTGTTTGTTGTTAGGTTTCAAGTATATTGTGACAATGAAGTGGATGCAAAACAGAAGTCAAACACGAGTTCAGATGAGTTACTTCCCTTGGGTGACGGAGTACTGACGGAAAACCTAGGTGTGCCTCTTATGATAGTTTGCACCAAATTAGATTCACTAGTCGACTTAGAGAAATCCTACAAGTACAACGATGAACATTTCGATTACATCCAACAGTTCCTAAGAACAGAGTGTTTAAAACACGGAGCCTCACTTGCCTATACGTCGAGTAAAGATAGCAGGTATCTTGCGGGTATTTACAAGTTGATTTTGAATAGCTTGTATGAGGTTTTGCCCAAAACTGGAACTCTAGCGTCAGTAGTTGAGAAAGACTCTATTTATGTGCCCATTGGCTGGGACAACCTGCTCAAAATCAAAACAGTCCAAGACAATTTAATCGGAGAAATAAAAGTGGACGATGTATTTGAAGATGTTTGCAAACAGCCAGCTCAAATTGTGAGTAAGAGAGGTCAACATCCAGAGGTCAGTGGGACGCCTCTAATGGCAGATGAAGAGCAAATGTTCCTCAACAGGTATGTCATCGCTTGTTAATAGTTTTTTTTTGGATTTGTAGCTATTTGCATTACTTTGATTCTATTTTTTAAATGGGGACCTCTTTTGTCGCATATTCTTAATTGTGGATAATATTACTAACTTTGGTCTTCGAAATGGGACATCTCTATTGCATGTTCCTGTAAGGTTTTTGGATGTTTTGCCTAGTCAAATAGTTTGTTGTGCAATAAAAGGTGTAGCAGTTTGCAAAATGAGCTTATTATAAATAATTACACAAGCCAAGCATGTCATCAATTTTTTTATGAACTGAAGTGGCATATTTCTTTTTTTAATTTCTGAGTAATTTCTTGATTTTTCAAGTGCATTCCTTGCTGCTTTGATTGCTGGTAAAGTGAAGTTATTAGGAGCATAAAGAGAGGGAGAGTCATAAGTTATCTGTAGCTCCTGTGTTTGAAATCTCAGAAAAGTTTTGGTTATCATGGACTATTTTCAAAGGGTTAATCATTGTTCATGTATTGAAGGTCCTTTCTCTTTTTTCTCCTGGCTATGCAAAGTATTGATTCGCGTTGGTTTTTAGGCCTTGAATTGGACACGCAGAATTATGTTGCTGTTAGTTTGAGGCTTTGTAGTGACTGAAAGTTTATATAAACAGGTCCCAGAGCGCACTCCAGAAACCAGTCCAGACCGGAACGTCATCAATCATGAGTCCAATGCGAGGGGGTGGCTCCTCCGGCAGTCGACCTCCTATTTCGGCTACTGCGAACGGCGGCGAGGCGAACCTCCAACAGTTTTTCAACAGTCTTCTTAACAGTAAATCAAGAGGCGGCGGATCTACTAGTGGTATGAGCAGTCCAGGAAGAAATTCGACGGCAATGAGTACTCCAGACCAAAGGCGAATGACGGCGCCACCTAAAGCGATTCTTCAACAGCAATCCGGCGCTTCGACGCCAGTTATGGCGAATCCCGCTGCCACTGCAGTGACTCCGGGTCCCGCAACAAACGGTGCTTCGGAGACAGCGTAAATTTAAAATGATGTAAATAAACTTCCACCAATCGAAAATAGTGTTCTTAGCCATTAAGGCCAATTATTGTGATGAGTTTTACAACGCAACGCATTACAGTGATGTTTCGCTTCAAGTAGTTGAGAAGGATAGATGTTATTTTTATAAGTTTGATTTATTTTGACGTTTGCTTTGCGGGGTCTATGCTTTTTTCTCAATCAATCAATCGGCTGTTAATCACAAACGCAGAGGATCTCTGGATTTCGATTCTTCTGCTGTGCTGGCATTGCTGTTATTGTTTCAAGAAATTCAATTCGGTCGTCGTTTTCGTCATCTTCTTTTCCAATTTAGAATACCTTCTGTTTATAATTTAAATCAGTAGTAGTGACGGGATATAGATGGGCCTATTACCATGTGTGTCGACTAGCATAACCGTTAAATCCTGTTTCTAAGGCGCTCATGGCCTATTCGAGATAGTTGATGACTGGTTACACAAATCGGTGAGTGGTTATCGACACACATGCTAATAGCTACGCCTCTCAATATTAGTGGTGAAAAGTTCGAAATTGGAGCAGATAGTTGTATGTGTCAATTGAGTTATCTTAGTTGAATTGTGAGCATAAACTAACGTTTGAATTTTTTTGAATTAGATTGACTCTTATGGAATGATCAAATAAATAAATAAAGAACAAATTAGGCATGAAGGGAAACTTTTTCGGTGGGAGAAGGAAATACTTCTAAATAATTTTTTAAATGTATCTGTGAAAGTAGGTGGGAAATATTTTATAACCCACTTTTAAAAAACTTAACCCGCTTTTAGATAAAATTCTTCTGATGAAATGACTGATGTCCAATACCTTCTCCCATTTTTTCTCGCTTTTAATTACAACTTTGAAATCCAAAAATGGCCGTTGAAAATTTAACAATTGGTATGTATTGCTGTTGATTTATTTAATAAGCATATTTAAAGGACGGTCGAATCATAAACTAGAATATGATCATTTGAAAATCATCTGTTTTCAATTTTTTAAAATCAAAATTTCGGAACTGTGGCCACTTTTGTCTGTAATTATGTATAAATAAACGCAATATTTTCATCATTTCAGCATAATTGAATTCACACCAACTAACTTAACTATGAACATCCAAGACAGCAGGCGCTTTCATTCATAGTCATTGAAAAAATTTTTGGAATAATTAAAATATTTAATTAAATCATTGTTTTCTATTGAGGTTTCTAGTGCGATTGTTATAACATCTATCTGCAGTAGCTTGTACTGATGTTTTGGTATTTCGAATTTGAAGTCAACCAACGCTTATATTAAAAGGTATGTTCGTTTTTTTTCAACCTAAGTCGCCACTTTTGGCTTGAATATCAGTATCTGGGGACAGCTCTAAGTGCAGTAAGTGATTCAATATCTTGTGTTTAATCGGTTTTATTAAACGTATGCAAAATCTGCTTGGGATGTTATTGAGAATTTTTTCACGCTAAATCGGCTTCTACAAATAGACATCAGATAAGGTGGATTCAGGTGTCCTTTTAAATTGGTGATACGATCTGCCGATGCGTTCTCAAAAGTTCATCCCAGTGCCGAAGAAATCTTATGCAACTTTGGTTGTGGTACTTCAAATTTCGAGAGCGCCAATCAGGTAATCGTCAATCTAGTAATTTCATTTGCGAGAGCAATCGGTTTGTAATTGGGAACCAGCGCTTTTTTCTAGTGAACTGCTTTTCTTACAATACTGTAAGAAATCGAACTTACACTTAAACAACTTCCATTATCCTAGCACTTCCATTATCATTCGTCTTAGCACCCTTAAGTCTGGAGTTCGAATACCGGACAGATCATGTTTTTTTTTCAGTATGTATGGAGTTCAATTGTTTTCTGGGAAAAATTCAATTGTCCGACTTTCGTTTTTAGGCGCATTTCATATCAGCGAAAAATCCAAAACATAGAACCTTCCGAATGAAACCATTTATGAATAAGTTTCTTAAACGATTTTCTCTGGATCAAATGGTATCGGCTTATGTTTTATTGGCTCAGTCACCGTATTTTGCTTAGTTTTAGGAAAAAAAAATGAGTTTCATGCTTTTGAGTAATACAGGGTAGAAAGGGTATATAAGCCGGTAATTTTTAATTATAGCTAAAAAATTTTTTATGGCTTTTAGTTTTCGGCTCGAGCCTCCAAAAACCTTAATCGACTTAGTAACCGCTAGATAAATGAAAGTTTGTTTATTGCTGATGGCTGTGTTTCTCGACTATGTTTCTGAAATTAAATTACTATTTCTGTTTTTCGTTATTAAAAATATTACTCTATTTTTACGTAGTCATTTCCGTCTTATTTTTAATTGCTAGCTTGAAATACTAAATTTGCTCTCTATCGCTTCGGTTCTGTAAAGTTATTTAAATATAGACTAAAAATTAAAAAAATATATATTTCTTCTTTTTACCACTGAAAAAGACCAGTTTGCTTGGATTTTTTCTGCTCTTTCCCTGAAAGAAAAAATTGAAAAAAAAACTAAATTTAAAGATATCTACTATAAATATTTTCTTAACTTTTGAAGTTTATGCTTCCCTCCCTTTTCAAGAAGAAAATTTATTTTCTCGTTGTTGCTTTAATTTTAAATGGTATGAATGATATATAAATACAACCATAACAAAATGCAGAAAGCTAACGAACCCAAAAAGGTTGCAAAATGTTGCTCTGACTTGGTATGAAATGAGTTCAGTCACTACAGATATGTAAATTCGGAAAAAACATAATCAGTATTAAATGCAATGCGACTAATAAAGAAAAGTCATGCAAAAAATGAAAAACTAATGTATTAAAAAATGGATGCGTGGCACCAAATGAATAAGCAATTGTTCAGTATATAAACGTTTTTTATACTGAATAATTGCTTATTCGTTTTTGTCAGCAGTAGCTCTGTTGAAAAATAAAACGGAATTGAAGTAGATGAAATAGTTTTACGGAACAAGGCTTATTTAACACCGGCATTCTTTGTTTCTGCGCGTGTTTTTTTTCCAAATATGACATCATTCCAGACGGAATGATGCTATACCGCCTCGCGTTGTATATTGCGTTGTATCTCTCTGGTTCTGTGAAGTTATTTAAATATACACTAAAAATTGAAAAAGAAATAATTTCTTTCAGAAATTTTTGTAGTTATGGTTTTTCGTTTAAGAGTAATGAACGTAGTGAAGACTCTTATATAGGTCTTGCTGATTCTTTTTTTTTTCAGGAAAAAGTCTTAAAATTTGTTCATGCTCAATTTTGATCTTTCGCGGTTTGACTTGTGGTTTTTTTTTTTAATTTCAGTGCATTTCTGGTGTGAAAAGGAAGGCAAACTCCACTATCGAACAGCAAAGTTGTAAAGGTCACGATAAACGTGAGCGACTTCTAATTTTGAAAGTGGAAATTAATTATCAGATTTCCCTGCGAAATAAAAGTTATACCTATTGATCTTGTTTTCTCAAATTGGGTTAATTTTAACAAAAAAGTGTCCGTCATAGATTTTTCTACAAATTCAAAGAGCTTTAAGGCCATCTAGTTTTTAATTCGAATTTCAAAAGTTGAAGATTTTTGAAAAAACGAGTCGTTTTTTTTCAGTTTCCTTGCGTTCATTACTCATTTCCAACTGTCAGTTTGCTATGTTCTTTTTCTGTTTGGTAGCTTGCTAAGCAATGCTCGTGTTATCGTGCGCATTAAAAGACAGAGCCTTGATTCTGTCTGCACCAGAGAAGTTTCTACTGTGCAAGTTAGAGCGAATAATGTGAGTTTCCAATCCCGAAATAACTATGGCTGTTGTTTCCGTATTTCTTGCGCAATAATTATTAGGTCATGTCATCAATAGACTTATGATGACGCATTTTTTATGCACAACCTTGAAGTATTTAGAATATTTTAAAAGCGTTCTTTTCGAGTTCGTCAGATTGTGTGCTCGATCCCCTGCCATGGCAATGCTTAAGTGCAAGGACGAGGTCTCACTTGACCTTAAGCTTCAGGTCTACCAGAGTTTGACTGATTTCGGCTGCAATACTGTTACCACGTGAAAGGTCTAGACGCAAAAAAACGACCTTGTGTCGTCGCAAAAAAGAGCTTCGCGCAACAAAATAACTCAGTCTGTAGTGTGGAGAAATAAGAGAAACGGACTATGCGTAGACAGGCTAGATAGCTTTTCATAGATCCTCTGCGAATCGCATAAATCAGCATTATTTACAATCATTTCAAGCAGTCATTGAAAATAATTGTATATGTCACAAAAATTTTGTCCTGGAGATCAAAATCAGCGCTAGTTGTTAGCTTGTGATTAACTCGGACTTCGGTGCTTTTTCCCACCGTCTACAAACTTCATTGTTACGCCATAACCAGTAGGTTTTGTGCGCTCTTTTTCCTCCCTCCCCTCACACCAGCATCAAATTTATAGTGTAACGAGGGGTTTTACGAAGTTAATTATGAGAATCATTTTTGTCATAGCCTAATTAGTCCGCATGCCAATTTTTGTAGCAATCCGCATGCCAATTTTTGTAGCAATGTGACCAGAAAAATCACTTAAAAATGACCGCTGGGGGAAAGGAAAAATAGCCGTTTTGTATGAGGATCAAATATTTCTTGACTATCGAACCATTGATTTCACAAGGTTGTTGAAAACCAAATATGTTTGGAATTGAGGAGTTAGCATGCATGCCGCTCTTCGAAACAACCAGTTTGATTCGGGACTTGTAATCCTTCGCTGGGCTTTTTTCCAGTTTCTCACCCCTCTTATAAAGTTACAAATAAAATAGTTGAAAAATTGTTCATACGGCAATTTGCGTGCAAAACATGTGAACATTTGTTCACTGACACGTTTTATTGCAGTTTAGAGCATAAAAGGTCATTATAAATAGGCTTTCATAAATTGGTTTTCAGAAAAAAATCAAAGGGGGAACTGGAAAAAAGCCCTTCGTTGGGAACAACAAACGATGGTCATTATTAATTGATTAATCGATTGCGCGAGGATGGCGTTTAAGGAAAAGCTGCCAAAACTTTTTCGCCCCTGACTGTTTTCTTGAATGGGCATAAGTTTGGATCAAGATTGGCATAGTTGCAAAAGGAAAGAGGCTTCTTGCATTCAGTTGATAAGATGAAGGGATCGATGAGCGACAATTTGATCTCTCAGATCTGCGATCGTTGTTTTAAACTTCTGACTATTTTGATGTTCTAAGAACACGTGCATATATGTTGCTCTCCGACCAATTAGCATCTTAATGTAGAACAATCCAGCAACCCAGGTGAGTGTCAAAATTAAAACGTCATTTATTTTAAAGTGATTTAGTGAAAAATCCAAATGCATTCGTTCATCTTGGATTTTCTTTATTATTCCGGTTATAATTCTAACTCTGTATAATTTTCCCAATTAAAAGTAGCACACACTGCATATTGTATTGGTTTGAGTTCATCTAACAACTTCCGTTCCATTGAGCGTTAGAGCTCTAACATCAAAGCTATTTCTTTTCGATTTTGCCACGAGAATTTCTGTTTTGTGAGGGTTGCTTTGGAGCTTCAATGAGCTCAATGCGTCGGCAACATAAGAAACTGTTTTGAAGTCTTTCTGTAATATGCCCAGAGGATGGCAACTTATAAAAGCTTATGTGCAACAATATGTCATCCGTGTATAGCTGATACTCTAAGTTCAAGGATTTTAGGAAGTTTCCTATGGGCTTTATATATCGGAATCAAATTTTACTTACGATTTTTCGAGTAAGTACAATCCAATAAAGCTTGTCGATTTAATGTGAACTTGTCTTGATTTTTCTTGTTGTTTCAGACAACTATGTGTATATTATTTTGGTATCAGTACGATGGAACCACGGAGAAGATCAAAGTGAGCGGGCCAGCGGACACTAAGTCCAAGCCAGAGGAGGCCGCGAAACCCACAACTGCAGGCAACAATCCAGAAAACGGTACTTGCATAGATGGTTCCCAAAATTTAGAGAGTAGTTTGATGAAAGCTACTTCAGATGGAATATCATTTTAGGGTCGATCGATTTTATTCCAGTCCTTCTGTATGTTTACTTTCAAATTAGATTCACGAAAAGTTACTTTTCCAAATTTTCACCCAGCGAGGAATTTGTTTTTAAAGGCGTTTTTATAAATTGCTGGGCGGTTAAAATAGGAAAGAACCCCATATCAACTCCTTGTTATTTAACTCGAAAGACATATTGACTGCTTTTACAGCCTGCAGAAGCTTGTTACAGCTTTATTGATATGTGATATGATAGCTTTACGGAACCATTTACCATACTTATACCTGCTAAAATAGAAGAAGCCGCCCAAGAGGCTCAAGACGAGTTCCAGGAGCCGGACTTTCTGGACCCCAACTATGCGGCTGGTCTCGAAGCGGCTTCGGACTACTCGGAATCTTTTGACGACCCGGAACACCCAGTGAACAAAGTGTTACACAAGTACAAGCTGATTATAGCAGCCAATCGGGATGAGTTCATGGACCGAGAAGCCTCGCCTTTGCATATTTGGAATGACGCTAACGATATAGTGGCGGGAAAAGACAAGAAAGAAGGGGGCACGTGGATGGGTTGGTGCTTCCTTCATTCACTTCCTAAGTCTCCTAAATTATTATCGTCATTTTTGCTATAGTTTTTGCAAGCATTGTAAAAAGTAACTAAACGTATCTTTAAGCGTAGAGAAATTTCTAAATCACTGGGGTCCAAATTAATAGCAGTTAAGTGTCTACTAAGAATAGCACTTTAATAGTGAGAACTTTCTTTATCAGGTGTCTCTAGGAAGTTCAAGTGTGCCTCTGTGATCCTGAACAAGTACTCCAAGAAGCGAGAAGAGGAGACGCCGAAGAATTCGCGTGGATCGATAGTGGTGAACAACTTGAAAAACCACAGCGAGTTTGCGTCCAAACTGAGAGCGGAGTGTACTGAGAACAAATACCTCCCCTTCTATCTGCTCAGTTTTGACTTCGAAGGACCCTTGAAGGTGATGATTTAAATCTAGTTTTTTTTGCGCAATCTTGTCTGTGAAATGACCTTGCCCCCCCCCCCCCTGAAATGATCTTTTCTAAGTTGAAAGATGGTTCTCTCATATACCTCCAGCAAATATTCGCAGAACTCCACCTCTATAATGAAAATTACTGATTATTAAAGCTGAATTGCAGGATTATTCCATGTTTGCATACCCTGCGTTCTTACCAAATAAGACAGAAAAAAAATTACCACCGTTTCTTAGAAGCTCTAGAAACACTATACCCTGACAGTAGGCCTGAAAAAAAGTTTGATGGATTTGAGCTGAGCGCTAGTGAAGCATTTTCAGAAAGGTTTCACACATTTTTAAGTGTCTGGCTGTTTTTTTCATCTATCTGAAATTTAAATGAGCAAAATTGCGGATGATAAAGGAATATATAACAAACCACGAGTTTGTGTTAGCACTCAAAATCTTATCCTCGCTGGCTTCTGAAATGGAAGAACAAATATGAAAATCATACAAAAAATAGTCGAGGAAACACAAATAGTAAGCGAACGCACCATAAAAGTTGACTAGTTATGCCTGAATTTATGATCAAACTGCATGCCTCTGTTCAAAAACTCAGTGGGCACAAATTTACAAAAAAAAAGAAAAAAGAGCAGAGCTTAAACCAAAAAGTGCAGAATATGATGCTAGCATAGCGTTTCTTTGGCGCTAGGGTGAACTTATGATTAAGGTTTGTTTTTTTTATAAATACTTTTGAATTAAAATTTATTTTGTCATTGTTTGTTGTCAAAAAAACTTCTCTTTGCAGCATTCCGGAGACGCAAAAAAAACGCTTTAACAACGCTTGTTTTAACTCGCTTTTTACGCTAGCGAGCAGCTAGTGTTTTAGTACGAACATTCTTTTTTCTAACCTATCTCGCAAATAAAACTGTTTATTAAAAGTGTTCACTTGTGTGCCTTTTTGTTATAATCACGATCTCTAGCATTGGAAATTTTATAGCATCTGTTCTGACTTTATTTGTGCCTAGTGTTTGTGATGGGTTAAGCGTCCGTGGCTGAGTGTTTAGAGCGTGAAACTAATAATTTCTAGATTGCAGTAGGTCGTAGGTTTGAGTCCGAGACACCACAGAATTTTTTTTACTAATTCGAGGCTTATTTTTACTTTCTTTTTGCCTTTTTTTTAGAACTGTAGAGCTGCTTTTTGTCGTGTTCTCGCGCAGCTCCTTGTCCTGTAAAAAATGCTGTCTCTCTGGAGCAATAGCTCCTATGCCGGGACTAAATGGCTCTTTTCCACTCGCTTCCTCCTCTCATTCAAATTTGAAATTATGCTGAATGTCCTTATCTTAGTGTTGTCACAATTTTAGCATTGTAACAATGTCACAAGAAAACGTGGTGAACAATTGGATGATTTTAGCATATTTGTTTTTCTTAAGTTGCTTCATAATATCACATTTTTAGCCGTAAATTGAAGTCAAAATTCAATCAAACCGTCAAATAATTCTTTATCGAGCTTGCGAACGTTAGTGTATTAGTATGAACCTTCTTTTTTTCTAACCTAACTGGCAAATAAGTGTGGTCACTTATTTGGTGGCACTTTTGCTAGAATCACGATCTGTAGCATTGGAACTTTCATAGCATCTGTTCTCTGCTGTTTTAGTGGCTAGTGTTTGATTCAATAAGCGTCGGTAGTGTGGGTAGTGCGTTAGACTCATAATATCTAGGTCCGAGATCGAATATCAGACGAAGCCGCGTTTTTACTAATTCGAGGCTTATTTCTACTTTCTTATTGCACGTGTATAGAGCTGCTTTTTGTCGTGTTCCCGTAGGTGTTTGCGAGGTACAGCTTCTACTCTATGTAGATTTTTGGACGTCCGAATAGGAAATATCTGAGAGCAGCCTAACCTTAAGGCGTTTAACCTGTTTTTTTTTTGTGCGTGATAACATAGAAGTATTTTCAGGTGGCCTACTACACTTGTGGAGCGGACGGTAAGTTGAAGCACAAGGAGATCACAGGAACTGGCTTCTGTTCCCACTCCAACTCCTCAATGGAGTCCCCGTGGGTGAAGACGAAGACTGGCCAGGAGTTGTTTGAGAATACCGTCACTGAGTCACTCATGAAGACATCGGAGAAGACCAAAATGCAGGCTAGTCTATTCAAACAAGTTTTGCAGCTAGCAAAATCAAAACGGTCGTTGTGTGAATATCTTCAAAATGATATAATCTAACAACAACCAGTATGGCTTACTACATTTGTAATGCATAAGTTCGCATACAAATTTTTTATTGAACTGCTCCTTGCCAAAATATTCTTGGATCTACTTAACAATCTCCCCCCTTTCAAGAAAGGGGGGATTCTTTAGTAGGTACAATGGGGGGGGGGGAGATTGTTAAGTAGGTCCCCAGAGATCAACTTAAAAATCTCTCCCCCCCCCCCTTTATCATGGATCAATATCATGGATCGCGATTCGAATGCGTTCTTTAAAGGCATGTAATTAATGAGCTTGAGCAATGTATTCTTTTTGGTATGTATGCTCTCTAGTATGCACGCTCGTAAACAGCAATTTCAATTTTCAATGGTTTTTATTTTGATTGCAAAAATTTATCTGAAGTTTTTGGATTCGATAATCTTTCACCTTCTTTGAACTGTTTTTTTTTAAAATATTTTTTATACAGGTGATGCGAGATTTGAAAGCATCTCTTATCAAGATGTTGAAAACAGACACTAGACACGAGGACCCTGCACTGTGTGCGAGCTACAATGGACTTTTGCCCCCAGACACAGCCGAAGACCTCTCCTTGCTGTCCTCCATCTTCGTCAAGTCGAAATGCGACAAGTTCAAATACGGAACTAGGTGAAGTTATACAGTAGTTGGAGCCTCGTAGTTTATGTATCGTAAAATAGGAACAAGAAGAATTAATGTCTTGGTGCTACCTATACTCATGATGCAATATGAGGCAAAAATTACTTGAGTTGAACGTCAATAGACACTATGATAAAAAGTAGTTTTTCAATTAAAGGGTAATAAATAAGTAGCAACAATTTTTATCGAGCTGTGGTTCTAATCCGTAAAATACCACTGAATAAAAATTAAATTCTAATTCGTAAAATACCACATTAAATTTACATGTGATTCTGTAAATACAAAACGAATTTTTGTATTCATTACAAAATGATATAGAACCGAACACATCAAGGATTTATTCGAGAGATTATTTTGAATTCTAAATAAATTTAAAAAATGGAATTTCAACAATTTAAAATTTTGGTGAAATTTACGAAATATATTGGAGCTTTTATATATTGCGAAATATATTGGAAATATATTGAAGGGAAGGATTTGCAACTTTTGGTTAATTTACTCACTTTACCAACTACTGGATAACTTGGCACTTATCTGTCTGTCCAGAGTGCACACGATTTTGATAGTGGACCAGAAGAATGACGTCTACTTCATCGAGCAGAACAGTGTGACGGGCAAGGAAGAGTATTTGCGCTTCAGTTGCAAGTAGTGTCCAGTATTTGGGTCTAAAAGGCTATTAAAGCGCATAATAATACAAGTTTTTCAATGAGGTTTGGAGTTGAATAAACTCAAATTCGTGTTTTACGGATGATTTTTGTTATAAAATGTCTTAACACTTTACTTTGTCTTGGAAAAAATTGAGTGCCTACTTTAATGCGATTACTTAAGCGTAATGAGAATGCAAGATTTTGAAAGTGTGAAATTTGAAAAACTTGTATCAAATTAGTGTTTCCAGGTTGAATTAACAGATTAATTTTTAAACAGAGAAAAACGGCTTGCAAAGTCAGTTGTTTATAAACGGTGCTTTAAAAATGTCATCATATAAAAACGTATTTTTATCCTTATAATTGGTGCTGTTTTTGTACTTCAGATTAATGTACATAGATAGATTGTATTTTTGTACCGTAATAATTAGAACTAGGTTTGAAATCAAGTAACAAAATTTAAGTAGTTTCTTTTGAAAAAGGGAAGGATTTGTAAGATCAGAGTTATTAAGAGTAATGAACGTAGTGAGTAGTCTTATAGATCTTGCTGATTTTTTTTTGTTTTTTTTTCAACAAAAATGTGTTCACGCTCAATTTTGATTTTTTGCGGCTTGACTTGTGATTTCTTTCAAGTTCTGTTCATTTCCAATGATAAAAGGAAGGCAACTTTCACTATCGAACAGCAAAATTGTAAAGGTCACGAAAAACGACTTCCAATTTCGAAAATAGAAATTAGTTATCAGATTTCCCAGCGAAATAAAAATTTTACCTATTGATCCAGTGTTCTCAAATTGGGTCAAATTTAAGAAAAAAGTGTCCATCATAATTTATTCTACAAATCTAAAGAGCTTTAAGGCCATCTATTTTTTCTCCAAAGTTCAAAAGTTGAAGTTTTTTGAAAAAAAAACAAGGCAGCTTTTTTTCAGTTTCTTGGCATTCATATTCTTATCCAACTGTCAGTTGGCTATGTTTTCCATAATCGCTTGATGATTTGATTTATTAGAATTGTCAATTTTCTTGACTTCTCCAGCGGCTTAGTGTCATGATTTTGCATTGTTTGCAAAGAAATATAATCTTTACGCCTGACCTCTCCGGAAACAAACAGGGGTGAAAATCTAGGACTTTCAGAAATTTTAAAGCTTGAAATTTTTCATGGCAAAAATTTTGTTTTCGGCTCAATGGGAGTTAACCTACGTTTTGTCCGCTTAGTTACTGCTCAATAAATGTTTCTGCATTCTTAGTTCACGCCGGGTGTTGTATTGCTGAATGTGTTCTCCTCAAATCGAACAGCATTTGAAACAACAAGAAATTTTTGTATTTGATTTCAAGTGGCTTTTGTTTCATTTTTTATCTGCTAGCTTGCAATGTCATGTATGTGTGGTATTACAAGTGGTGCGAAGCTCCACATCGCCTCTGTCTGACAAGTTCAGTTCAATTTTTTCCCGTATTTTTCAAATTTTACGCTTATTCAATTTTTTTAAACTCAATTCAAATTTTACGATATCCAATTACGTAAGTGAAACTAGCTCTCGTAAAAGCAAGAATGGCTTTTAGTTTCAAATCCGTATTTCAAATTTCTCAGCGGAATAAAAAAAAAGCCCCATTGATCTAGTTGTTATTCTTTTCAGGGTTAGTTTTGTTTTATGTAAAAGTGTCAAATAGCTTCAGCTTGCATTGTTTGTTTTTTTTTCCAAAATCAAAAGTAAAATATTCCACGTCGATCATTTTTCTGGTTTCCTTGAGTTCGCTGACAGTTTTCCAACGATATGTTGGCCTTGTTCCTTCTTGAAACCACTTATAAGGAGCAGAGTATACGCAGATGCCACAGTAGTGTATAATTATATTACTATGTAATTTTTCAGAGCAATGGCTGATTTTTTAAATCAATCTATGCCGAATTAGCTCTGATTTGTGCATGATCCAATCCTGCTAATTCTGTTAGGTTTATCTGGGAAGCCTGTCAAATCGCTCTTTTGGGTATCTTCGAGAAAAATCAGGGTACAGTTAATCGATTCGATGTGTAGAAAGCAGCTTCAATTTGTACTTCAAATTTTTTGCGTCTCGAACTGTCTCCCAACTAATTATTTATTGCTTTGTGGAGTAACTTTGAATGCATACAGTCTGAAAATACTTTAAGTCTGATTTGATATAAGTCTGATTTGATATTTCGCGCGGAGAATATAACACGCTCAATTTTTTTTTGAGTTTTTGTAGTACACGAAAAAGAGTGTTGTGGTCAAAACGATCTTGTTAAATTGGACAACAATCTGCTACCCGTGTTTCAAATTGCCTTATTTTTTTTCAATAAGGTAAATCATTAATAATCAGCAAATAGTTTTGGAAAGTTAATTTTTGATGTTGACTTGGATTCTCTTTACGTTTTCTAACAGTTGGTTGAGTTGGTTTTCTAATTGATTAACTTATATTTGGTGAACCAGCTTTAAATGGTTGCTTATTGATTTGGCAATTGAATGCATGCACTTTTAGTGTTTTGCGGTTGCAGTTTGCAGCTTTAAATTCTTGCTTATTGTTTTGGCAATTGAATGCATTCTTAGCGCAGTTGGGGTTGCACTCTTAGGTTGCAGTAATAGCGGTTTTTCGTAGCAATTCAATTCTGCAGTCTTGTTTTTTCGAACCGTAAATCCAAACATAAGTTTTCAGAAAAGGATTCAATTTTAATAAAGCAGGTTTGTAGATAAGGATTTTGTCACGCTGACGTGTTTTATGTTTTTTTCCAGGGTTTTGTTTGCTTTATTATTTGCAATTCTCAATTACACAAGCGTAGCTTGCTTTATATCTTGATACGATATGTCTGTTTTAAAAATCAAATGAGATTTTACATATTTATTGTACAGGTTGTATTTGGTTTTTTAGGGAAACTCGCTCAAAATGATGGCAAATTTTTTCAAGTACGGTCAGTTCTGCAGCGCAATTCATTCCAGTTCAATGACAGATTCTGTGAAATTTATAAGATTGAAACGCATTTAATTGCTAACTTTGCATAAGTTGTCCTTAAATTCTAAAAGGTCCTGAGAAAAGCACAGCGCAAATTTAATCAGCCTCATTATCGAGTCGGTGCTCACCTGAAAAAATTATCCATTTTTGCCCGCTCCAAGAGCACAATCCTGAAATTATTGAAAGTTTTTCATTTACCATTAGCAAATTGGTAGCTGTATTCATACTTTCAGCATACAATGAGGTTTTGAGAGAGTTTTCTAAAGTTTCTAAATAACAGTTGAAGCGTTTCGGTTTTTTTTTACTTGAATTGAGAAGGGTGATAAACATTATTCATTTCTTTTTAAATATCCTAAAACCCATTTCTTAGAAAGAAAAGTTTATGTGTGTGAAAGATTCGAATTTTATATGCAAGCCTAATGTACGCATTGTTTTTGTTTGGACACAGGCGATAGTTTGAGTTTTTGCTATTATTGCGGTCAGAACTTTAGGCCACCTGCACAGCTACCGGCTCTAAAGATGTCTAAAATTTTCAGTGAAGTCCTGTTGATGTCCTTTATGTCACTCTGGCGGATTGCGATGGAAATTTAGGCTTTTTTCAGTCAGTATACTGTCGAATGGAGTCAGGGGTGGCTAGATGTTTTTGTTTCGGTCCTAAAGCGTGGAAGATGTTTATTAAGGTCGGCCAAATGTCTAGACATATTCTCTTGGAAGTTTTGAGGGCAGCGCAAGGCAAGAAGGGGAACAACAGCGCAGGGCGAAGCAAGGCAACCCAGGGCAGCGTACAGCAAGGCAAGGAGGGGCAGGGCAGCGCAAGACAAGATAGGGCAGCCTTAGGCAAGGCGGGGCAGCGCAAGGCAAGGTTGAGCAGCGCAACGCAAGGAGGGGCAGGGCAGCTTAAGGCAGGGCAAGGAGGGGCATTGGAGCGTAACCCAAAGCAGAGCAGCCCAAGGCGAGGTGCGAAAAGGCAGCGCAATGCAAGGCGGGGTAGCGTAAGGAAAGGCACGGCAGCTCGCAAGTTTTGTATATTCCCGGAGTTTTTTCTGGATATAAGCCTGGATAAATTATAAGTTGATCTTTTTTTTAGATCAAGGCCAAATGTCTGAACAAGTTGTCTTGAATGTTTGATCGCAGACAAAGGCAGTGCAGCGCAAGGCAGGCAGCTCAGCTCGATTGGAAAGGTGAAGCAAAGCAAGGCAGGGCAGGTTAATTTGAGGACCGCAGGGCAGGGAAGCGTAAGGCCGGGCAAGGAGGGACAGGGAGTAACAGGCAAGGCAAGCCTTAAACAATGCAGGCCAGCGCAGAAGGCGGGACAAGGCATGGCAGCGCAAGCTAAAGAGGGCAGGGCAGCGTACGGTAAGGCAGGACAGGGCAAGGTAAGATTGCAGCACAAAGAAGGCACCGCATGGCATCCTAAAGCAAGGCACATCAGAGCTGCTAGGAATGACAGAGCACGGAGAGGCTGAGCAGCAAGGAGGAACAGGACAGCACAGAACATGGAAATGCAGCGCAACGCAAGAAGGGGCAGGGCAAAACATAGTTCTCTAGAAGCTTTTTCAATCTGAATTAAGGATAAATTTAAATTTTTCAGGTCAAGGCCAGATGTAAGTTTTGAGAAACACTACATTTATCTTGAAATATTGAGAAACGTTTCATCAATTAAATTTAAATTCATAGTTTGTGACTCAAAATTGGTTTTCTGTGCTGCATATTAACGGGGATGTAATTCGTAGTTTAGAGGAAGCTCGTAGTTTAAAGGAATCGGACAATTTTACGAATGTTTTAAAAAAGTTTTAGAAACTTGGATAGGCTCAAAAAAAACTTAAATTCGAAACTTTGTACCCGTACTTGCAGGCTGATAGAAGTGTAATTCAGGGTTGCGATTCTAATGCCGAGACTTGCACTTTCAAAAGCTGGTAGTTTTGGAGATGTGGACGATTTAACGAATTGTCAAAATGTTCTAAAACAAGTTTGAAGTCAAAATTTAGTACCCGTGGTTGCATATCAACAGGAGGTAGTTAAGAAGATATGAACATCTTTACGAATAGATTTTAAAAGTTTTAGAAATTTAAAATGAAACTCAAAGAAAAAAGTTTCAAATTAAAAGTTTTGTACCCGCATTT